ATTTTCAAGAAGTGCTGTGATTGCTGTGTTTTCTTGCAAATTGGGAAGCATTGGCGTCATTGCAGTCAGCTTCTCCCGGTTAGGATTCCTTCAGTGTTCATGGTTCAGGAGGTTTCTACCGGGAGCCCAATGATCCACAGAGGTCTCCTCCTCTCCAACACAAACAGACCCGCTGATTAAAACCACTAAACACACTGAATAAAGCAGTTCCACCTTAACAATCACTGCTTCTCCCACGCTGTTGGACAGACAAAGGACGTCCCGGAGGGGCTGCGAGCCGAGCTGCTGCTAACGTTAGCTCAGCTTGTTTCTCTGATAACTTAAGATCCAGACGTCCGATGACTAAAATCCTTCATCCGGTTCAAATCTAGAGTTAAAAAGCACCAAGATCTAAACAGTGGATGGTAACAATGTGGCTTCAGACTGGATCAACAGTCAATGTATGACAGCTTCTGGCAGACAACCACAACACATACACTGTTTAATGAGGAAATGTTACACATTATAAATTAAAGACACCGGTTTGTGGAACATATCTATTATTCCTCTTGTTTTCGTCTGCTTCTCTTTGTGGGGAAGCTGTTCTCTTGAGCCCAGCTGGTGTTGCCAGCCCTGGGTGGAGATGTGCTGAATCAGATGGGAAGAATTAGTGTGCAAAACTCATTAGACCCTGTCCATACAGCCTGAACCCAAAGCAGGCCCCAGTATGTGGTAGTAACTGAGTCTTGTTTCTCGTTGTCTCATTTACAAGTCTCTGCTCTCACAGAGGAGCAGAACAGAACCAGAGTCCCGGCTGCTCATTAGACGGGTGAAGATGTGATAGGTTGTGATTCTCTCTGACTGCTCCTCTCGTGCCAGGCGGGTGGAGCTAGAGGAGCCACTCGAGTGTGTCTGCTGCTCTTTTCAGTATCATCACCTCTCTGTCACCGCCGTGAGAGCAGAGGAAGCAGCAGTTTAAAGCCCAGCAGACATTTTCATTACATTTATAATGAAGTGTGAGGATATTTAGTGAGAGTGGAGAGTTTGGTTTGTCACTGTGCCGTCGCCTGCATGTGTACTCAGTATTAACCCACAGCAGTCTCCACTACACATGCATCCTCAATGAAAATAAGAACAAGTTATGAAATGATTTTGTTTGACATTATTAATACATTAATACATCACTATGCGCTGTCCATTAAACCTGGTCAGATGGTGCTTTATTTATACAGGTTACTGGGCTGTTTCCTGATGAAAACAGTAATTTAAGACTTCTTTAAACTCAAGTAAATATGAATTCATGAATGGAAACTTTATTCTCAATACGTGTTGCATTGCACTGACTGTAGGACTCGAGGTTACACTAGCAAACACTGGGGATTAAAGGACCAGTGTGCAGGACTTAGTGAAGGAAGGTGTCACCCTTTGTTCTTATCTCCTGTAATCATTCTTTTACAAACTGCATTGTGTGTTGAAAACCTGTGGACATGCAGGCGGGTCTCTCAGTGCTATTCCTGCACAGAATTTGTTACTACTAAAGCAAAATTGGGCTCCATTTGTAGGACCTTGCAGGATCTTACTGGAAATGAATCCTGCATCTGTAACATCTGTAACCACATCAGCACCACAGCAGCAGCTCTGCCACAACACCGCCATACAACACTAAGTCTGTTAGCTGTGGATGTGTAATCGACACACAACATGCCCTCATGCCAGTTCAGGTTTTATGGTTTCATGCTTCAAAGCTTTCTCTCTCTCTCTCTCTCTCTCTCTCTCTCTCTCACTCTCACTCTCACTCTCACTCTCTCACACACACACACACACACACACACACCACACTCACACACACACACACACACACACACACACACACAGGGCTTAGGGCTCTATGTAACAAGCTACCAGTGTTCAGATAAGCCCATTTAGCGCAGTGCTGGTCTAATTGAATTTGTCTGCTCCAGACTGAAATGAATGTGATTTGTGAGGTGTGTGTGTGTGTGTGTGTGTGTGTGTGTGTGTGTGTGTGCATAACGTGAACCTCAGCTGCTTTGGTGTCAACCTGGAGTGTAATTTGTGCCCTCCAGAGATGGCGGCTGTAGGAAGGAGGGATGGAGCTGGCAGCGAGACTCTGCGTTCGTCCATCCTCTTTTCACCTCCCGTCATTTCCTCTCCTTTCCTCTATCAATCAGCTCCTTTCCTCTGTTTCCTCTTCCGGTACGAGCTGTTATCCTGATAGTCTGTGATACAGAGTCTGTTGTGTTCAATCAGGGTTTGATGTTAGAAGTTGAGTCTAAAAGTCAGAATGTGTTGAGGTGGTTTCTTCCAACAGCCACAACATCTGAACTGAACCCAGAGGATGAACGTTTGAACCATAACCTTTGTCTCCGCTACAGAAACACCTGCTAACTGCTAAAGTCTGATAAGGTTGTCTGACGGTATTGGTTTGATTAATGCTTTAATAATGGGAGTATTGATTACTGATCATTATCAGCTGATTCTACTGTAAGTGGTTGCCCTTTGTGTGCCTGTTTTTAAACTACTGTGTGAATGAAACATGATGTGCCTGTTATTATCATACATTCAGTCTCTCAGACATTAGACTGACCCTTTAGGTTAAGAACCACTGGACTGAACTAGCAGACCAGCTATGACAGTAACATGCTGCATGGTGTAAGATGTTCCTTATAATGATAACACCTCCTGCATTGTCCCCCCCCGCTCATGTCTCCCTCAGATCTCCCTGTTTCACTGCCGTCATTACAGCCTCCCACAAAGTGCAATAAATTAAAGTAAGCAAAAGTGCCACATCCTGTGGACACTGGTACGAGCTGGCTCTTATTAAGCCCAGTTCTTGGAAGCATCACAGTAATGTATTCTGTCAGTGTCCCTGCGTCTGTCACTGGTTTGATTCCTGTCTGCCGTCTGTAACGCAGCAGCTGGGTAGGTAACATAAGGTCACCTGATTTATGAAGAAACACTGGTTATTTCATTACATCCTTCCCTATCTGAAATTCCAGCAAATGGCTCAGAGGATTTGTGGCTCTTACATCACACCCGCGGTATCAGTTTGACAGCCGATTTAGGAAATGAGAAATGCCTCTTTTGTTATCATTCATCTGCTAATGGAGGCTGAATCCTCTACAGCGGCCTATCATGATTACCTTTATGACTGACAGTGAATGAACTAGTCTCACACACTGTGTGTTTGTAAAGGAATGACACAAGGACAACTGCTGCCATTATTCTGTGTGTAACACAATATCAGCACAGCAACTTCACACAAGCAGGTTTCTACACACACCTTTAAAGGATGGTAAATGGTAAATGGACCTGTACTTGTGTAGCTCCTTTCTAGTCTTTCGACCACTCAAAGCGCTTTTGAGAGGACAGACAGTGGCTCCATTAGCTGAGCTTCAGATGGGTCAACTGGATAAAAAGTACCCACTGAAACATTTGTGAGCTGCACAAAGTGAGATTGTTGCCTCTTTTTATCTTTTTTTTAAACCACATTTTAAGATATTACTGACAAAAGCCCTTTTACCTCTCTGAGGGGGCAAATTCACAGGAAGTGACAGCGTTCAAAGGTTGCCCACCAAAAATACAGTTAACAAAATAAAAGCTCCCCCATGGACCAGAAACCACTTTATACAAGAAAAATAATCACAAAATGTGAACATGGATTAATCGGTCCCTCCAGGTATTCAGTGTTTTTTGGTTTATTGTTGAGGCCTAAAATGGCTGATTTCACAGCAGCTTCAAGTTTGTGTCATACTTGTGTCTGCTTCTTTTGAAACCAAGTGAGTTCAGAGACGTATGGCAACCTTTAGGAAACTACAACGTTTGGTCAGTGATTGGACGAAGTTGGGCAGAATTCACAGGCATTGGTTGAATTTGCGTTAATAGTTGCGATCACAACTTCCTGGAGGGAGTGAATATTGGTGAAAGGGGTTCCTGCAGCGCGACCTGGGTTTGAGTGACGCGAGACCTTTGCTGTACTCTCACGTTGTGCACAGTTGCAAAATTACCTCCCTTAATTAATTCTTGGCTGTGTGTGTGTGTGTGTGTGTGTGTGTGTGTGTGTGTGTGTGTGTGTGTGTGTGGTACTGTACGTGTGTGTTCTTGGAGCACTGTTGTTTGTTTACAAAGGTCGGGTATGGTGTTGACTGCAACAGATGGCCTACATGCATCCGTGTGTGTGTGTGTGTGTGTGTGTGTGTGTGTGTGTGTGTGTGTGTGTGTGTGTGTGTGTGTGTGTGTGTGTGTTACATTAGTGCCCAAGGTGCAACTGAACACACAGCAGTTTTTGTTGGGCTCAGCTGGCCTGAGCTCACATTACTGTGCATAGGCAGAAAGTACCTCCATGGCGAGCTGAAAGCAAACAACACACACACACACACACACACACACACACACACACACACACAGAGTCAGTCATCTAGCTTCTGTCAAGGGAGCACATAATATATTACACTGATGCTGCTATTAATAAACATAAGCCACATACTTCTGGATACCTGCAGCTTTTTGGCTGTCACTAAAATAAACCTGAGCACAGACTCATCCGGAGAGTCTTTGACCATTTGAACTACTTAAGCAGATTTCACTTTACTTTGTCACATGCAGTATTTTAACATTGCTGAGTCATTTCCACACTCAGTGTTATTACAGCAGTCAGTTGGACGGCCACCACCGAGAGGGTCAGCTCACCCAAATCACAAAACACTGAAATATGTTTGACCAAGTTAGACCATGCTGGGTTTAGAGTACAGAAAAAGACTCAATAGTTAGAGAAAGGTGGTAACAAGGCTGTTTCAGCATTAAGTAGGTTATAAAATCTATACATCCATCTATTACCTCTCATCCAGTAGGGTCGTGGGGGGGCTGGGTGAGCCAGTCTATCACAGGTTGAGCTCTAAATTCTCCAAAAGACGGCAGTCACTAAAGTGGGTATGTGTTGTTTTATGTACGGCTACTGCTTCTTATCTGTCTGTCTGTCTGTCTGTCTGTCTGTCTGTCTTCAGTCACTTTCTAGAGGACAAAGTCATCGTCTGTCATGACAACGTGATGTCGAGCATTTCTTTTTCTGACGGCAGGAGGAGCGGCTGTCTCAGAGGCACTTAAAGAGAATGAGGATCATTTGATTATTGAGGGATTGTGACTCACTGTGGCCGTCCTCTTCAAACCGCTAAAGCCTTATTGATGGGGGCTCATCATACAGCCCGACCCCATCAAGACAATGCATTATGGGGGTTATGGGAAGAAGGTCAGCACCAGAATCATTCATTATGTTGACAATTCTTTGTATCCATTTTGTGCATTCTGTCCACCGTTGCTGCAGCTGATCTGAACGGCGTTTGGTGCTCGAACGCAGTCGAAGTGGCCGGACTCTTTATGTGAAGATGAAACCATTTTACCATCACTGTCCTGTTGCTGCTGTTAACATTCAACCAGTATATATGGATATAAATACTGTATATATTGATTTATTGTATTTTATATGTTATTCTATGAATTCTTTTTCTGTGTGTAGCGTGAAGGACCTGCAAACGTTCACTTCCATATTCAACCTTTCAGTGCAAGTTGCTGTTTTTCCAACATTTTGAGATCATGTGCTTCTTAATTACACCCTCATTACATTATATGTCTCAATACGTGTCTGGAGAAGATCTTTAAACTTAATAGAGTGCTGAGTTTTATATGACTGGTACTGTACCGATGAAGCTGTGGACGTTTTAGAAAACAACAGGAAAACATGGAGGAAGTGTTGAGCCTGCAAAGGCAACCAGATCAGACAACAGGAGGAGGATCCTTCCAGAAATGTGATGAGACATAAAGCGGGGGAAATTAGAAAGAAAGCCTTCAAATAAAATCTTCTCTCTGCAGTTGAGGCTCTGGCCAATATTTGAGAGTGTAGATTGTGTTTCTTTTAAGTATTTATAGCAGCACCCTGAGCTGAAACTAAATTTAATGTTCCAAGAGAAAACATCCATCCTCAGAATGACTGTAGAGGAACAATGGATGAAGCAGTAAGGTTCACGCAGCTTCAGGAGCTTTAGTTGTGTCATTAGAGTGTGAATAAGTATTTCAATCATAGCAATTAAATTGTAGTGACTGTAAAACTACACTTGAAATGTGATAACTGGACACAGCGGGGGATGAGTGAGTGAGTCGATATTAGTTATTCTGAACAAATCCAATCCTCCGCTTTGTTTCCTGATTTCATAACTTGCTTTAAAATCTGCTGCTGCAATGATGGAATTTCCCCACGGGCATCATTAAACTTAAATCTGATCTGATCTCGTCTCCAGCATGTGATCACATGTTCCCTCATCCAGCAGCGGTCTGCTAGGATGAAGGTCCAGCAGGGCAGAACAGAGGGAGAGTTCACTGGCTCTTATCCCGGACGTTCATGACCCTCAGTGCCAGCTAAGTCCCCGCAATCTGTTCCCCCAGCTACAGACAACTGCTATGTCTGCGTGTGTGTTTGATAGAAAACCGGAAATCAGATTTGGTGTCAGTATGGTACTCTGTGTGTGTGTGTTTGTGTGTGTGTATGAGCTTGTTTTGCACCGACTGAGACAGAATATGTCGTCCAACTCCACCACTGAGACTTTTGCATTGAGTATAAGTGAATAGAGGACTGTGGGACGACTAACAATGTGTGACGCATGTTGACAGGCTGACGCAGGCTGAGTGTGTGTGTGTGTGTGTGTGTGTGTGTGTGTGTGTGTGTGTGTGTGTGTGTGTGTGTGAGAGAGACTATTTACCTTGGTGATGTGTCATAACAGCGATGTGCCAAGCTGAAGGTCGCTGTGTCTTTCAGGATCATTGTGAGTAACTCTGGGTGAAGCACGCACATCCCTCCCTCCTTTCTCTTCTTCCCATTCTTGCTCTCCTTTCAACCGTCTTTGCCTGTTCACTACCGACTCTCTCTCCCTAAAAACTCTCTCACTAAACACTTTTACACTACATGCCACATTCACACACTGATGCACAGGAGCAGTTTGGGGTTCAGTTTCTTGCTCCAGGATACTTTGATGTGCAGTGGGAGGAGCCAGGGATCGAAGATCATCCTGTCAGGCTTCAAGTTACTGCGCCTGTGTCCGACCACAGCGGTTCGTGAGCTACGCGGTTGAACACTAAGTGTGTGTGTGTGACAGTGAGCGTGAGAATGGCGGCTGCTGAAGCTCAGGGGTCGGCGACCTTTACCATCAGAAAGGAAAAAGAAAAATCTGTCTGGAGACACAAAACATTTGTTTTCTGATCGCAGATCAAGTGTATCAGTGAGCCGGCAGCGTCGGAGGTGGAAGACAATGCACTGTGAAATTCTTTCTTCAAGACTTTGTGTTTTGGATTCTAGTGTTAGCTAGGGAGGCTCAAGACTATTAGCCATAAAGACAAAACATATCGAAAGAGGCACCAGGACGAAACGTATGACTCATATTTAAGTTGATTAATAATCATTTTGCAATTGGTCATCCAACAGCGATCAATCTAAATGTTATTGATTTTAATGAAGTC